CAGACCTCTGCTCGTTCCAGCTCGATTTTTGTAAGATAAGCCTTCTCTCCTCGAACAAAGACCACTCAATTGAGATAATAGACTTCAAAGGCTATCCAAGGACATATTATTCACGTTGTTTGGTCGAGTATAGCTTCTATAATGAGAGGAGACAAACAGCACACCAATTTGTGCGAAAATAAGGATGGTGGCCCAAGCTTTGATTCCTATCAAGTCATGTGCAGCTCCCCTCCATTATGGCCGGCCAAGGTAGGTCTTCTAACCCATTTTTATTTGTTTTGCAGGTACTAATATCATGTGGAGTGGTTCCCAATTGATCCCATTAAATTTGGGGTCCAAAATATCTACCAATACTTCCAAAAATGGGAAGATGGGTCCTATTGTTTTATCTTTGTCAAAGATGTCTTTTTGTACTCATCCTAATTTATTTAGAACAAGTCAACTTCCTAAATCACATTATTGATCTCCAATATGTGTAGGCTCATCCCAATAATTTACTTGATGGATATTTTAGAAGGAAAATCCTACTCCCATTATTTAGCTCAATAATACCAAAGATGGGGTTATAGACATTTGTATTCTCCTTTAATCATTCTTTCACTATTTAGGTAATGTTGGGCCTTTTTTTTTATTAATAAGTCCCGAGTAAGTATTTGCGAAACCCGACACTAATGTACGAGTTTGAACAGTACGATATTCAACCATGCACTACGTAGAACATTGATCGTTTTACAAAATGTTTGGGAATCGGAAATCCAATACATAAGCTATGAATATTCAAATCAAATTTCCAAGGACATTCGGGTGCGGTGTCACAGAAGAGGCTCATGTTTATTAGTTACTCCGCACATACATATTTATACATATGTTAGAACATTGGATCTCTAGCTTTAAATTACATTTTGAGATTTGATGTGCACATGAAATTAAAAGCTTAACTGTAGCCACTATTATACTTCGTATTTAGTTTTGAGATCAAATATATACGCACTGCTCGTATAGTTGTCTTCTAGGTAGTTGTTTTTTAGTGATTTATATTTTTCTGGAAGATTTTAAAAAAAAAATCTGGAAGCTTCAAATTAAGTTACGAGTACAACTTTGAAGTGAGTAGTCCTCAAAATTAAAAGTTGCTGGCCAACTGTCATCAGAAGCTCTATGGCACGTTCAATGAATATTTTACGTGTAAAGTGTAAACTCGTTTGAGAAAGTTTATGTACTACGTATAATTTAAAAACAAATTACCGACCAAACAGTGTGTTTCTATTTTACATGCAAACTATTTTACGGCCCTAAACTTTACATGCAATCACTTTACGTGTAAAGTTTTAATGTGTAAACTACCAAACGGACCCTTAAAGTCAAATTCCTAAGCAAACCTATGCCTAGAATTGACATATCAATAAACTATCTTGGGTCATCCTTAAGGACTTCCCATAACTTAACCTTAGCCTCATACTAAGTTATTTTATACACTTAAATTATATTCAAGTGCATTTCATACAATCCAATCGTTAGGATCAATTCTATCAACAATTTCCAATAATCACTAACTAGTACTTCAATACTATTAAGATTATTGTCATCTTACAAATATTCTCATTTTGTAATTCTCTACATATTTATAAGTATGTAGCAGCAACGTAAGTATTCAATTTCAATACATAAATATTCATTTATGTATCCACATAATTCATACATGAGTAAAATGTCTATTTCACAAAATAGTTCATTAATAACTCATTTCATTTCATATTATCCACACAACTTCAAATCGTTTCCAATTTCATTCATTGTCAACTATATCAATATTTCATCAATATTTAAGCATCACAATCCATGAAAAATTATGATTTAAGCATTTAGGTAATCTCATGCTTAACCTACAAGTTGTAAGCAATTAGATGTCGATCCTCAACTTAATTGAGCTTTAAACTTTTCCTTCTTGATCCAATGGTCAAAGCTTCGGCCAAGGTGGGTTAAGAACTGATTCCTTGATTGAAAATGAGTGCTAGGAAGCCTCCTCAAATCGCTGGCTCAACTCCTAATCGTTGATACGAAAACAGCCCCTAGAATGGGTGTTTTCCGGCGAACTTGTTTCCTAGTTTTTCCAAGGTTTGCTCTAGGTTAGTATCTAACCTTTACATCAATAAAATAATCTTATAAGGACATATTATACACTTGGAATAATGTATAATAGTTCCACAAACCGTTCATATCATATGGAAAATGAAAAGGAAGGGTTTGGGTTCAAACTCACTTTCAAGAAGTAAAATCGTTTCTGCGAGGTTGGGTTTTCCTTCAATGATATGAAAGCCTTCTGCTACTCCGTTTTCTGCAAACCAGACCTGCACGGATTCCTCGTCTTGATAGCATTCTTTTGGTACCTTACACGCCCTATTTGTACGATTGAAGCTCAAGATATGGATCAAGTAACCCTACTTACTGGAAAATGAACCTGCGGCCAGCTTCCTTCTTCACTTCTCTCTTGAAGTGTGTGGCTCCCTCCTTCTCTATTATCTCTTAAGGTCTGAATGGGGTGCTGGGGGTAGGGGTGTGCACGGGTCGGGTTCGGGCGGGTCGGGTTTACGAACCCTAAACCCGTTCGGTTTTTTTAATTTAAATACTAGGTCCGTCCCTTTGATATTTCAAATCGGGTATTTCGGATATTTTTAAGTCGGATATTATCGGATATCGGGTCGGGTTTCGGATATTTCGGTTATATAAAAAAATTATAATTGGATAATTAAAGTGTTTAAATGCCACTTTGACAAAAATTGTACACACTAGTGCACTAAACTTCCAAATTACACAAATAATTTAACACAAATTGCACAAATAATTACACAAAAAATTGAACACAAGTATTAATTTAACATATTCAAAGTACACACTACATATTTTATTATATTTTGGATATTTTGGTTATATCAAAACACATTATAATTGGATAGTTAAAGTGTTGAAATGCCACTTTAACAAAAATTGTACACACTAGATCGCTACACATTCAATTTACACAAATAATTTAATACAAATTGCACAAATAATTACACAAATAATTGAACACAATTATTAATTTAAATATTCAAAGTACACACTAACATGTATTTCGGATATTCGGGCGGGTCGGGTTGGGATTTCACAAACCCTACCCGCCACCCGGTCTAGGCCCAATACTAATCGGATTTTTGGTTTCGGATTTTTCGGGTCGGATATCCACTTCGGTTCGGATAATATCCGGAAAAAATATCGGGTTTTTCGGGTCGGATCGGGTTTTGCTCAGCCCTAGCTGGGGGAGTGTATAAAAGCCCTCAATCATGCTAAGAGAGCATGTGGTTCACAAAAAAAGAAAGGTAGGATGTTTAATTACAATCAAACATGAGGTGGACCTCCTCTTTTATTTCTTTTTGTAATGTTGTAGCTCTCAAGTCAATATGTCCGCCCCATATAGCCATCTCACCCATTTTTCTTTGTCTTGCAGGTACTCAAATCATGTGCAATGCTCCCCAATTGATCCCAATCAATTTGGGGTCCAAAATATCTACCAATACTTCCAAAAATGGAAAGATTGATCCTATTGTTTTATCTTTTGCCAAAAGATGTCTTTTTGTACTCATTCTAATTTATTTAGAACAACTCAACTCTCTACATCATATTATTGATCTCCAATATGTGTAGGATCATCCCAATAATTTATATGATGAGAATTATAGAAGAAAAGCCTACTACCATTATTTAGCTCAAAAATGTCAAAGATGAGACCATAGACATTTGTATTCTTCTCCAATCATCCTATCACTTATCTATGACATTAGTATTCATATTCCTGGGCTACTAGCCATGTGGGTCACTCCCGAGTGGGCCTAGGACGCCATTCTGGAATACTTACTATTTTTAGCAGGTTGGGCCCAAAATAATGTTTGGGCTACCCAAGCTTCCTTAACTTGTCTTGAAAGGTTATGTATCATTATTTAAAAAATATTGGGCTCTTACATCTAATAAGATGGCCCAATGAAATATTGAAAGCCCGTCGTTAATATACGAGCTCAAATGGTAAAATGATCAAACATGCATTACATAAATCATTAATCGTTTTACACTCGTTTGATAATAGGAAGTTCAATACATAAACTTTGAATTTTAAATTGAATTTCAAGGACGTTCCGGTGCGGTGTCAAATGCATAAATTGAGAAACTAAATGCACTGCATAAGTGATATCAGGTCTTGTCAAACTTAAATATTGTGATACTCAGTAGCATATGCAAGGAGTTCACCATCAGTGAGAGACAAAGTAGTACGAGACGCAAGAGCAGACATACATGATGAGAAAAGTGTTGGATTGGGCTTTTCAAATACTTTAGTCACTTTTTTTGTCCTAATACAAATCAATCATCTTTTTGTCTACCAAAACTCTAGAAGTAATATTTGAGTCATTATCTCTATTTTTATTCCCTGGATAGGAGCAGTAACTTCTAAATTGGAAAAAAACTTCTATGTTTAAGATTTGATACTATCAAAACGTGACATTATCAAATGTAGAGCAAGTATTTTGATTGAACTTCTATGTCTGATTCTGATGTTTTAAGGAAAAAATATTTTAAAATATATTCTATTAATAAAATAAAGAAAAAATTATATGTAAAAATAGTTAGAACGGTCATCTACGATAACTTCAGTCAGTACAGCCAGAAAAGTAACTACAACCTTATATTTTTGCTTATTATATTATTCAACGCGTGAAAGCAAAAATTACGTGTGTAGTGAAAAAGTTGGCTGATAAGCCGAAAAACAATATGGAGTATTGACAAAGGAAGTTCAATCTTCCTTAACTTAACAACTAACCGCCAAAGTTTGACCGCCATAACATGGAAGATTCTCGTTGCGGCTGCAAATTACTTTGCAATAGGAAACGTTCTAAAATCTTCTAGGACCATCTTCTTCAATCCTTTAAATACTCGCTGTGTATGTGAACTGTTCTTTCTTATATCTGTTCTTTCATAAAGTATACTACCTAGTTAATCCCTAGCCCAAGAGAAGCTTCAGAGAAAGGTCGGCTTTCAATTTCTCGATGCCTTCTTTGGAAGAAATCGGCATCACAGGCGCCAGAGCGCTGGTTCTCCCACTCCTCCTAAATTTCGCCGCCGCATCTCCGCCGTCTCAGAGTAACCGTGAAGTAACCGTGGTCGTGAACGCGAGAACCGGAACGATAGCCTTTCTACAGGGCGCGGCGGACGGATTCGAGGCCGTCCTCCGTAAAGGGGGGCAGTTACCGGCGACGAAGGCGTCGATAGAAGCGTTGCCGGTGGTGAAAGTCGGAGAAGAAGGGGTGGACTGCGCGATCTGTTTGTCGGAGTTGGAATTAGGAGGAGACGGGAAAGTGATGCCTTGTAAACACCGGTATCATCCGGATTGTATTGATAAGTGGTTGAAGATCCACGGCTCCTGTCCGATTTGCAGATTCCAGATGCCGGGAGAAGTTGATCCAGATCTAGATGACGACTCAGAGTCGCTGCAGGACAGGGTGGATATGGTGTTTCATGTCTTCTTCCGGACGGGCAGCGGAGATAGTTCCGATTCGGAATCGGATCACGAATCTGAAGCTCATCCCGGCGGTGCTGAATCCGACGAAGCTCTGAATGCCGAGGCAGAATAGTTTTTTACAGTAAATTCTTAGATCTGTAAAGAGAGTTCTTACAGCTTTCCTATCCTCACAATACCTCTATCATAGTTTTAGAATTGCCTGCTTGAGAGCAAAAGCAAGAGTGATTTTGTTCATCTAGGACTCTCCCGTTTTTTGTTTGGCGATTATCCAAAGTACAGTTAAAAAATGAGAAATTGCCACTTTTGGGAACTTTAGATTTTGGTTGAGTCAATTTAAGTAGCTTTAGGTTTTGGTTTATTCAATTTGTGGAACTGTAATATTACTAAGATGTATTGATCGAACAGGGTTAGAGCAAGTAATTGTCAAACATGATTCAAAATCTAAAGTAATTGTGAACTGTAGAGCAAGTAATATATGCAAAAGTTTTAGTTTCGCGTTGGCCTCATATCTAAAAAGTCCCCCACCCCCACCCCATCCCCGTTACTCCCCAATCCCCCTCATCCCCGCCCCACCCCTTGTCCCCACGGGTCCCCATTTTTTAATCCTATTTTATAGATAATTATATATGTAGCACTAAAAGAGGTAAATTAGATAATATTGTGTTTAATAAAAGCTAATTCCGCCAATTTTCAATAATTTTTTAATTTGAATAAGTTATGTGAAGATAATAAAAGTAAAAATGCAACTAAACATATTATCAACTTGTATGTATTTACAAATTTCTCATCAATTAAAATACAATTAATTATTTATATTGTACATATATATGCAATATGTATATGTATATGTTTATTATATACTACATATAATTTAATTAAATATGTTTATACATTATTTATATGTGTATGTTGATATATGTGTGTGTATTATATATTTTGAGTTTATATTTATAACGGGGACGGGGGGAACGGGCGGGTGTAGCAATCCCCATCCCCGCCCCATATTTTAGCGGGGGATAAATATCTCACCCATCCCCATCCCCACCCCAAACCCCACTCCATCCTCCCCCAACGGGGCGGTTCCCCCCGCCCCCATTGCCATCCTTAGTTGGGGATATTGAGTCCACAGGTAGATCCAAATACAAAACTCGTCCAAATATCCCCATGCAACGCACTCAGTCAACCGGCCAAAAAGCCGCCCACAGATATCTGGGGCTTTGTACGGTCCATGCTGTCCGAGTCATACCAACGGGAGAATTCTGATACGTTCGGAAAACACATTTAATGATTCATATAGAATTCATTTTATGGTTGGGCTATTCACTCGAGACTCGACACATCACCCTACAACTACATCCCCACAACTTCTAAGATCACTTCGAATGGAGTGGTATAGGATTAAGCAGGGCAGTCTAGAGGAAATATGAGGCCCTAAACGGTTACATAGACACTTTGTTTAAATTTTTTTTTTCAACATAATAATGTGAGTATAAAAAACAGATTATCAATTAAATAGAGTAAATTACATATGAAATGCATCATATACTATTGACGTAATGAAGCTATTCTTCTAAAGCAAAGATTCAAAATTGATCAAAAATACATCCTCACACTGATTCTCACACACGACATTATTTGTACTCTCATTCTCAACAATATTTGACATAGAAGGTTTTGTGATTACGTACCGATAACCGATCCATAGAATCGGCAAACGAGTTTATAACCAAATCTTTTCTTAATTTGTTATTTCTCTTTATATATCCCGAATCATGATTTCGTTTTCCCGCCATCATAAATCTTACTTGTATAATTGTATTAAAAAAATAGGGAATATTAAATGTGTTAATGATTTATAATTACACATTCAATCCACTATTTTAGTTTTAATTGCATGTAAATAAAAGATTATAAGTACATCTACAATATATCGTTACAATTTTAATATATCAACATATATACTTATAATATACCCCAAATCTCCAACCCTACTCCCAAACCGAGTCAGCCCATTAACAATTTATAAACTAATAAAAGATGTAACGGATAAAATGACTAATAAGTAAACTGAAAATCCTTCAAATAAATTAAAGCAATTACTCAATTAGTAAAGTAAATAAAAGACCTTCCATTCAAAAAAAAAAAGTTAGTAAAAGACCCAAGACTAAAAAAAGGCTAGCCGTATGCCATTCTCACAGCTTCGACCTTCGACCTTCCGCCTTCATACTCGTCCACTAGGGAGCGGATTTTTTTAGATTATGAATTACAGAGTAATATGTAATTAAACATTTACAGTTAAAGCTGAAATTCATACATAATACTATTAGGCTTATTTCTAAAATTAGAGGCCCTACAATTTTGGAGGCCCTAGACATTTGTCTAGGCTTCCTGACCCTAAAACCGGCTCTGGGATTAAGAGTTCAAAATACTAAAAGTGGAATGGGATGAAGGGAGAAAAAATGGGTAATGGGATGGAGGGTTCTACATTTGAAGGGTGGACATTTGAAGGGTGGAGTTGACTCCCTAAAATAAAATGGAAAAGAAAAAGTAAAAGGGGTGGGGGCGGACATGTTGGTTACGCAGAGGGAAAGATGCCATCGTAGGGTAATTTGCGCAGGATTTAGGTTCTGTTTGGTAACGGCTGCAATGGTTGAAACTGCTGAACTGGCTGAAATGATTGAAATTGCTGAAGTGAAAGTGTTTGATAATATCTTGGCTGAAGCGCCTGATTGGATGTAATTTTACTAAAAAGGGTATTTGTTTCTTGATATTTGAAATACATGTATGTTAGTTTTGCTAAGAAAATCTGTTTACTAATATGAGTAAGTTAATTTAAAAAATTACAGTTTTTATTATTTATATTAAAAAGCTCACATGTAAAATAAATAAATAAAATACAATACATAAAGTAAACATAATCGTTAATTGGAATGTGCTGTAATTTAACTAATCAAAAGTTTCATAAAACATGCAAACAAATTGTAATCGAGCAAAAAGATCTTAAGCAGAAGACGGCTTAGATGCGAAGTGATATCTGGGAAGAACAAGACGACAGATGCGAACAAAGAAGAGAATTAGGGGTCATGCTAAGTATTAAAATGTATTTCAAGCCAAAAATAGATTTTCAGCCAAAAAAGAGCATTGGGTTACTTTTTGAGCTTTTAAGAATTATCAGCCAAATCAGCCCAAAACAGGGGTGTTTGGTGATTTTCTCCTACATTAAGGCTTATCAGCCCAAAAATTGGACTCCAAACGGCCACTTAATTCAAGTGCACGACGTCATGATGACGTCATGCTAGTGCCATGGAGCACTAACAATGGCATATGGCTTGTTTTTATTTAAAAAAATTGGTAGATCTAACGGCTGTGATGATTTCGACTTTCGACACCGTTTGAACGAAAAAAAGATTGATCCAACGGCTGAAATTGAAATTCAATGGTTAAAATAATTTATTTATTTTTCCATCATCTTTAATTAATATTTTGTCCGAAAATCCTATACAAACACCCCATTATTTCTTCCTATTTTAATCACACATCTCTCATCTATCTCATTCTTCATCATATTTTCTTTACTATCTAAATTTTTGTGATGTCTTCATCAAGAAGAGGTGCTAATTGGAGTGTTAGTGATGATGTTGCTCTATGCAACGCTTGGATATCCATATCCGAAAAAGATAGACGTAATTTACACTAACCCAAATATTTTATTAAGGCACATAAAAGTTCCAGAAATACATAAAGATTTTAGGAAAAACATAAGTAGTACAAATACAAAATTAACACTAGTAAATGAAATACATGAAACACAATTGGATTAATAAAACACATAAATATTAAGGGAAACATATAAACTACATTTCATTTCCATGTTGCCTCAACAGATGGTTTATGAGATCACTTTTAAGCGATGTGTGCACCGAGGAGTCTCGAATTCGATTGTGGCGCATCATATACCGACTCTAGGTTGGGCCATCATGCCTAAGATCCAATTCAACGATGCCACCAATATAGTCATAGTCTTCACGGTAGTCTTGTTGGGTTGGTTCTTCATCCTTATCTTCATATTCATCTTCCACTATCATGTTGTGCATTATAATGCATGCCATCATTATCTCACCTAATGTGTGTATGTCGTGCAAGCGTGCCGGACCTCAAAGGTGAAATCTTGGAGGGTGAAATCTTGGAGGGTGAAATCTTGGGCTCACATACATAAATGCTAATGTCTTCCAATCTAATCATCTAATGGTAGGCATCCTTTTATATTTCAAAGGTGAATATTTGATAATGACTTATTATGCATTGATCGGTCATCGATGAATATCAAAGTCTGTTATTGTCTCATATTGATCTCTTATTGAAGAAATATGTCTGTAGCCACAAATAGTTATATACCATGTGTTATTATTTCAGGAGTAATAAATCATAATAATAGGTGAAACTGAATTATTATACACACTTCAATTATTATGCACATTGAAAATACACATAATGCACCTTTCAGATATACCAAACACACAGTTTAATTAGTTTCACATAATACAATCAAACGGTCCATAATCATTCTCATTTCTCTCATGTGCATTCTTTTTCACCGGAACCGCTCCATGTGTGTGTGCACACACACACACATACATAATATATATACACACATGTATATACTATTTCTGTCCTGAAAAGAATTTCTCATTTTATTTTTATGGATGTCCCAAAAAGAAGTTCTTATTTCTTTAAGAGAAAATTACTTTTAAGCAAAAAGTCACAACTACTTTTAGTTTTTATCTACTTTTTGCTTGATTTGACATAAAGTAATTATATACTTGGAAAGTCAAAGTAACACTCTATCATACATAAATATGTGTGAAGGTTAAACCGAGAATTTCATTTTGGGACGGAGGGAGTATGTTCTTTTTATCGTATCATTTTTTGTTATATCTTTTGTGTTTTATATATCTTATTTTTTCATTATTTTTTTTTTAACATATTTTATCTTTTTATCTTTCTCTTCATTTTGATTCCTATATTATGTATGAATTATGTTAACCGACCATATAATCTTTTGTGACTAAAAATTGGATGTTGTCATTGTGTGTGTGTGTGTGTATGCTCATGTAATATTACATATATGGTCAAATTATTACATTTTATTTTATAGCACAACATTTAACATTTTTACAATATGAATACATTTTTACATTAAATACCAAATATACATTATTTTAATTAATTTATGCACCGTGCATCGCACGGGGGCTATACTAGTAAATATTAAGGGAAACATATAAACTACATTTCATTTCCATGTTGCCTCAACAGATGGTTTATGAGATCACTTTTAAGCGATGTGTGCACCGAGGAGTCTCGAATTCGATTGTGGCGCATCATATACCGACTCTAGGTTGGGCCATCATGCCTAAGATCCAATTCAACGATGCCACCAATATAGTCATAGTCTTCACGGTAGTCTTGTTGGGTTGGTTCTTCATCCTTATCTTCATATTCATCT